GCATGTTGGTAAGATTGTCCAGTAGATATTGAGTTCCCGAATAATAGTTGTCGCAGGAATCCATCGTGTTGACGCATCGGTAAACATTGCGAATAAAAAATTGTATGACTTTAGACCTTTTATTTTATGCTAGACATTAGGTGAAAACGATCAATAGAATGGTCCTTTTGGAAACCAAAGGAAAGTTGTCTTGAAGTTTTGATTTGCGAATCGAGGGTATTAATCCTTCATAAACCTTTGTTCTAATGTGTGAACTAATGCAATGTGTACGTGAGGATAAGTGGAAGTAATGAAGAAATCTCAGAGTGCCTTTCATTTTATCAGCTATTGTAACTGTCTTCTTTGATTTTGTGACCTTAATTCGCTGAAAACTCTGCGCCAAGATTACAAAGGGATTTTCAAAGCTGGACTGAATTTTAGAGACCTGACTAGATTACAAGCTAATTAAGTAACCATCTTTTGCTTACTAGATCGCCCACATTTGCCCTTCCACGCCTACACATTAGATAGAGATTATGCTTACGCCAAACTGTGGATTATACGTATTCTGTGAATCTGAAAGGATTTCATATGCCCTTAATATATTTCTATCTTCCACATCCTTATTAGTTCACTTTGTCTTTGAGCAAGCAGAATGGCAATAGTAGAATCCTAGCAATCCTACCTACTTTGTCATATTTTATAGAACTGTAAAATAATGGCTCTAAATAAAAGAAGCTCGGTTAGCTGATTTATATTAATAATATGCAGGTCTACATCCGTTGGTAGATCGTGGAGTTATAGCCACGAATGAAGGGATGATGGATTTTCCAACAATATGAGGGGATTCACTTAGCCTAGGCTTCCCAAAAAGCACTATCATCCAGGGAGGATTGTAATTCCGACCTCCCTTGGGTTTCATCAGCACCTACAGTGTGAATCGAAGCTAGGTAATGCAGTGTATAATTACGTTACAATTACACGGCACTGGCAAGAATGCCAGTGGATCATAGGGCAAATTTGAACTTAAGAAAAAGCCAGATCCTGTGACCCTTAATGGTAAAATACGATTTTGTCTCATCGAAAACTCCTCTACAAAATACAATTTAATAAAATCCTGATGTCAACTCTGCCCTGTGATCGAGTGGCAACCGTAAAGATGTGGCGAGGCGTTGAAATATAAAAATATACGCTGCAATAGACGAATTCGAGTCACATTGGGGATTCTGATGAGACTCAGACTGCAGGTTACTATTTGTGAAAATAACATAGTTTGCCTTGCTATTATTTATTACTATTCGCATTGCTCATCTCATTTATTACTAAATAAATTCATTCAAACTCTATAACCTTAGATGCTAAATTTAAAAATATGTATTACTAAGAGTATGGAAGTTAGAAATGCTTCGTGTACTGACAAAAGTGCAAATTAGTCACAAAAGAGTACGTTAAAATCAGAGTTTCAACTTCCTTCTTTTTCCTGTTCTCATATTCTTCCTTATTTCATTAAGATAAAATGAGCTTAGACAGTCAAATTAAACCCGCAAATGACGATAGATCAGGTCAAGAAAGGTGTCATTACCAAGATGCCTTTACTTGGATATCATTTTCACCAATAAAACACCCATTCACTCCACGTCCCATAAGGTGATATAGGACTGACGGTTAAATTTTCAGCACAATGATATGAGTGGACCTGACGGTTTCACTTAATTTCATTCAGCCTTGTCTGTCAAAAGGTATTCTCATCCTGAGTGGACTGCAGTCTTGACCAAACCTAGGTATCATCAGCACCCCTAGTGGGACTAGAATATGAGCAGTGCATTGTACAATCTCGAAACGTTACCACCATGTAACATTGCCACGAATTTATTTAAGTCACAGGCCAGACGTGAATTTGAAGGATATACAGGCCTCCCCTATATCGCATTCGTAGTATTTTCGATTAGACAAACTTATGCTTTGCCAATACAATCACTAAAAAATATTAATCTCACTATGCAAATTTTAAATCTGTGATGAATTCGTGAAGTGATTATCTAAGCTTAAACTTCAGGGTTACAAAACGATCCTCAGTCAAAATGTACTAAATTTCCGGGCCCTCAAATTCTAAACCATTTTCTGTATTCTAGCCTGCCCATATGTAATACTTCTCCAGGTTTTATAGCTCCTATCACCAGGAAACCATTAGTTCTTAAATTATAATCAATGCTATCCACTTTTCTGACTCAACGTAACTCTGCAAGGTCATAAGAGAAATAGCTCTCTCTTCCTAATCTTTTCCAGGCACTGACTAATTTGGCCTACGATTATGTTTCAGGTTCGTTCCATACCTCTAAGCGGTACGAAATTATAACCCTTGGTTGGAACTGCACAAAAATGTTAAGGAAGTTGGTCGTGCTCTGTACTCAACTAGCTTTGCTTCCTAAAGCTATTTAAGTGTACCCTCTTTGATCCTTTCTTCTCTGACTCATATGCCTAGGTCAATCGATTTCTTATTATGATTAAATCTCTTTGGTAGGCTAAATCATTCAAAAAACTTGTCATGTACATACTTAACAACTTAAAGATATCCTCCAACTTAAAGGTAGGCTTATATTTAGGCCTAGGGCCCATCAGAGCTCTCAACAGAATTCGGCACTGGATTTTGAAATGCCAGGGCAGATGATGATGAGACCTTGCAGAGGTTGAAAATGCCGTTTACTCTGAATGAGATAACCTTTTGGGAGGAAAGGATAAGCGAAAGTAAGATAGTGATGCGGTGTGAGTAAAACTCTATCAGTCCTAAATCACTTTTAACTATTTAGAGCGATCAGAGTAAGTTCTTTAGTTGTGATTAAATCTAGGCCTAGTTTTAATTAGAAGGGACTGGAACCTTGGTAATGTGGCGTATAGTCTCGACATATTAATCACTACGCAACATTGCCACGAATACCCTTAGGTTTCATGACCGACATGAATTTCAAGGAAGGCCAGGCCTTTCCCATATCACTTCCTATGGTGGAAACTTTGATGAAGCAGAATTGTATTTGCTATTTGGATCTACTATGCTACTCATTTTCGTTTATAAATTGATTTGGAGACTACCAGCTAATGAGACCTAGGCTAGGACAAAATTACAGTCAACTTTGGATGAGAATATCTTTTGAGAAGCAATGTTATGTGAAATACGAAGTTTACTCGTATGATTGTGGAAAAATTCAATTACCAGTCCTATGTCACCTCAAGGAAATAGAGTGAATACAGCCCGACTATTAGTCTAAAAATCTACTTATTAAAGAAAGTAGAGTGAAAATGCCATTTCACTAGCTAAATTAAACTGCGGCAGCCTTCAAAGTAAGATGATGCCGTGATTCTTATTCTAACAGAACTCCCATCATCTACATCAGTTTGTCGTATTTATTTTTTGGTAGTGTTCGGAATAATGGAAAAATAGAAATAGTTCATTAAAATAAGTCGGTAATGCAAGTTGCGTATTCGCTTAATCGGGTGACAAAAATTGATTGAAACTTGAATCATTCAATCAAGTCCCAGCGAGACCAAAATTTTTGCTGTAAAGGTCATCTTCACTGTTCCTAGCACGAAATCTTTATTATTCATGGCCATGCAGCATAAGTGGCGAAAATTTTTGTGCTTCAAGGAGAGCTTTAATACAGCAATTACGGCATTAAGATGTATGCGAGGCTGTGAATGCAATGACAAAGAATGAATAAAGTGGGGCACAGCATAAATAATAATGCAATATGAAGCAATGTTACATAATGAAAGTAAATGATAAAATCTAGTGCCCCTTTTAATTAGCGTGTTTATACTATAATATATTGTGACAAGACTTAGGCGTCCAGATTTACCTCCTACCGCTAACCGGAATTGGATCAGGTATCTAGTGGTTTGGTTCAAATTAGATCAGAGAAGATGCAGATAAGTCAAATGAATTAGATAAGGTTTTCCAAGTCATTTGATAAGGCGGAAATTAGTAATCTACATAGTATTGCAAGCAGTTTAGTGGAAAGGATGAATAAGATTTATTGATGCCTCGTTGCAAATAATTGAGAAATTTAGATATTATAAGAAACTCATGGAGCATAGGACACAAGAAGCAGGTTAACAGACCAAAAAATATTATTCTTGTAAGAGAAAGGTTAATAAGATACTCAGTGCTCCTCTATATTATAATGATGTATGAAGTCCTTATGGAAAGAGGCCAAAATTTGGACTTCCAAAGTGGAGAGAATCATTCTGGAGACATAAGTGTCGAATAAAATACTTCATTAGAAAGCAACTAAAGTTAATTATAATATAAATATAAAGGATTCCTCATTTATACTAGGTAATAAGGCAAAAATGTTTTGAATGACAACTATATTTTTCAAGGCAGATAAGGTTCGTGCATAAGAGTTAACGATTAATAGGCAGATGGTTAAAGAAGCAGCTGAATATGACATATGTTCCAACAGACTTCATATGAATGTGCAAAATGGGTATGGAAGCAAACCACTAATGAGGAGTCTCGAAGAAATATCAATTTAAACCGACATTCCAGCTAAAGCACAACTTATAAGTATATCAGGGTTATATGGATGGAATGCAGGGTACACAATGAGAAAAATTTCATCGTAAAAATTAAACGAAAGCATCTAGTTGGAAGTCCATAGTATGCATGATTATATCCAGTCAGACTGTGGACTTGGTACATTCCTAGACGCTTCTTCGGCATTGTAAGTCTTAGCACTATACTATAATTCGTCAGAGACAAATGAAGCCGATAAACAGACCAATTGTCTGCTAAACAGCTGTGGTATCTCTCCTTCTGTCTTAGACTATTCGCCTATCTCATATCCCGGTATCAATCCTTCACTATCACAATTTCTTAATTAAATGTTGTATGGCATGCCCTTTTGAGACCTATTTACATCCCTTGTTGGCTTTCCCATGCCCCCTCTTGTGTTGGGAATGTTCATCTAAGCCTGTCATAATATTCCACAATCCTCTTCGCATATGTCCTTCCTGCCTCATAGGATGCCCCTGTGGAAAGCATCTTGCTCTAACTCGGAGAAGATCATGCAACAGTAAGATCAGCAAAAAGAAGACAACTGGATTAATAAAGCATCTGTAATTTAGTGAAAATAAATCGCGAAAGACCATAAAGGAACAATCAAAAGCCAAGAAGAGACTTCTACAGTGAGCCTAATCAAAACATGTAGAACATAACTTGTGAATTGGAGCTCAAGAAATTAGAGCATAGGAAGTCATACATTTGGCATTATCAATAGAAACACAATAGATGCGGCGGAAACTAGAGCTAGTTGGCAAAGAGTAAAGCTGTGTTTTATTATGAAGCCATAAAAGGCTTGATGCGGAGCGTATAACACTGCACCTCAAGCAGTACGCATATAGTGGCAGTAATCAAGTGAAATCACTAAACGAGAGAGATAGAGGCGGGTCCTAAGAGGCAAATGGAAGACTTTGAAAGGATCTGGATGAAGAGAATTGTGGACTTAAAGGGCAGACTGGACAAACACTG